CAGTTCACCAACGTTGTCCATTCCTGGAATTCACTGGTCTGGTCACGGTGACATACCTCTTAGTTAGACCAGGCATGTAGCAGGGGGGGGGGGGCTTGGGGGGCTTCAGCCCCACCCCCGAAATTCTCAGGGTGGTCCGCGAGAAGGCCTTACTGGTACATTATTTAAACTGTTATGTTTATTCATATCATGATCTGATCACCATGCTCAATATATCCCATATGCATGGGGGTATTGGGGTAACGATACAAAAGGTTTGCTAGGGTAGACCCTCTTTCACTCAGACTCACCCCCCCCCCCCCGAAACAAAATCCTGGCTACGGGCCTGGTTACGACTCATTTACATTACTGTAATGCACTCTATGCAGGGCTGTCTTTAAAAGTGCTTAGAAACTTCAAGTAGTCCAAAATGCAAACAGTTGACTGTGTCTGGTTTTGGGCCCACATACATCCCCAGTTATTATAGCTTAACTGGCTGCAGCTATGCTTCTGGGCAAAATGCTGCTTTTGCCCTCTGAAACCCTACAGTTTGGGTCCAAGCCATCTGAAAGACTGCATAATGCAATACAGCTCGTCTGGGCTTTTAGTCACAATGTCTGCGTTACATACATGTCTTAAACAGATATTCATGCCCGCCAGTACTAATGGAACAAAAATGTCTTAGGGAGCAGGGACTAATTTATACCGACTTCAACATTACTGCAGTTGCTGAGCAACCGGTGCTATCTGGGGGAGGGATGGAAGGAGAGCAAATAGGGATTTTAAGAAAACCTGCCCCGCATCCTTATATCTAACACTATCTCTCTGCATACTCATCAAAATGCAACATCACTTTTATTCAGCTCTGCCCTTGGAATCTTCCTGTTGCTTTGTCTTCCTATCATCTTCCTATCCATCACTAATTCTCTCACACTCCCTTTCATTCCTTCCTGCAGTTGCCATTTTTCTTCCAGGCTTTTCCTTCAATCTGCCAGCAAGTCCTAGAACAGCGTCTCTCCTTGTTGTTGTCATGGCAATCCATCTCTCTCTCTTCCATGAACTACAAACATTGGCTACCTTCATTCAAAGGACCCCGCACAGAATCAGTAGACACCCCACCCTGTCTTCTCTTTTTCTTCATGTAGGCCCTCCTCCTTCACATCTCAACCATTTTGCGTTAAAACTCATTCATAAATGCTGCCCCCTTCACCCAGGCTGCCCTCTTTGCTGAAATGAACTCAACGGATCCAAATACAGAGGAACACATACCCAAAGTGCTACCATTCTCAACAAAATGAGCAGGGGAATCTTTGGGTTTTGGTGGTTACATAGCATGCGTATCCAATGCTTGGAACACATAAACAGTTGTATTTTTCCCAATGGCATTATAATTTAAGAATGGACTTACAGAAAACAGGAAAGCAAAGGGTGATTTTTTAAAAAAAATGTCAGCCCTCTATATCCAAAGATCCTGTAGCCACAGAATCAACCATTCACAGCTTGAAAATATTGCCACCAAACTTCAAATATCGAACCTTAATTTTGCTGTTTCATATAAGGAACACCATTTTACTACAGCCTGTGGTCCTGGAACCAAATCTCAACCAAGGGCCCACTAAAGCACTACATTCAAGTAAGGAGGAGGATCATATAGGTGCTACAACTATAACTAATGGCACTGTAGAAGTAAGCCCTATGAAGTCAAACTGCTTGTACAACAGAACATAATGTGAGTGATTTAATATTTGTTGCACAAATGGAAGTAATGTTTACTGAAAAGATTTGGCCATAAGCGCAATGGCAAGCAGGTAAACTCTCAGGTTCCTATGTCAGCAAGGTTTTCCACACCATTAGTAGGATACAGTAGGATTTCGGTCTAAATTTCCAAACTGGGTGGGAGGGCATGGAATAGTTACACCTTCTGGGCAGTTGCACATTTGAAAAAAAACACATTTGGAACTAGCAGTGTGGGTCTGGTCTAGAAAGCCACACATGCCACAATATGTTTGCTAACCTACACATGGCCATTAGGGCAGGTCCTTGGTTCTCTAACCACCGGCTACTCACTTATTTTTTCTATCTGTGGTAAGGAGGATAAGCAAGAACCCAACCAATTATCATACCTGATCTTGCTTTCCCCAGATGATCTGTGTTGCAGCTTTGATCTTGCTCATGTTTTCATGAAGGGAGTTTCTTGACTTTTCACTTGTAATCTCTAAAAATACTTTCCAGAAGAGAAACAAGAAAAGGGTGGGAAGAAGATCAGTCTGCCATCAGTTGAAGATAAAACTCTATGGGGAGCCATATTTTTAACCACTTACACTTTTTTGGTCAGTGAAATGCCAGAAGTCAAGTAGTGGGGAGGGGGGTGTATACACAACTGGAGGAATTCCCACAAAAGCCCATGGGTTATTGTGCTTTAGTAGTTATATTTATATTTTTAATGTACCAAACATACCAAGTTTGTATGAAAATGTGACTCTATTTCCTGTGCTGGTCAATGACCGAAATAAATGATTTGATTTGATTTGAAAGCCCATGGGTTGAAATGTGTGGGAGTTACTCTGTTTTGTTCTGTTTTGTATTTTGATCTACTGCACCTCCCACTTTCTACCAGCTTGGGTTCAAGGAGGGCAAACCCTGATGAGAACTTTGATATCTGTCTCCTGTAAGTACCTTCAGCCACATCCTTCCTTTTCCCCCATGACATTTTAGGCAGATAGAACTGTGTTAGAATATCTCTACATCAGAGTGGGTGGAAACTATGAAGTTAAGTCTGTCAAAATTCTAAGAGGAGAAATGCAAGGACTTGATGGGAAGGCTGAAACGTTGGCAAAAAGCCCCATGCCAGCTTCATGTGTAGCTCTGCCCTACAAATGAACATGACTTCACCTTCTATTATTAAAATTGGACTAATTAATTTGGCACTAAAATTCTGAAATAATAGGAATCACCAGAAATTGTAGATACTGCCATAACAGCCAAAGCAGGATACTCTTAAGACCAAAGAGCTATCAGGTCTAACATTCTCATTAATTAATTAATTAATTAATTAAGGACCATTGTTAGCCTATAGACCTTCAGTGTAATCTTGGAATGCCAATTTCTGGGTCAAATCGCTGCAATTACACTTAGAACTTGGAAAAGTTTGGGACTATACCTCCCAGAATCCCTGAACCTACTGGGAGCTGTAGTTTGAAACATTCATGAATATTGTTAAATGCCAAAGAGGGTGGGAAATAACATTGCACACGCAAAGTCTCATGACTAGTCACTGTGGCAAAGAGCCTGTTTTATCTGTTATGGCAGCAGATCTGTTATGGCAGCAGTTACTGGAGATCTCAACTACCTCCGAATTTTTATGCGAAGCATTGTTTCAAAACTATATGTTATGTATTGTCACATTGGCGCTAGAAACAAATGACACCAGATCGGGAGGAAAGGATGCAGACGCGGTAGATATGGGTTTCAGAGAATAGAACTACTGAAAAACCTTCTGTAGTTTCCCAGTTAGAACCATCTGGAGGTGCCCTTAAATCAAGGCCCGGAAGGAAAGAATATAATGCACTTACATTTTCTGTAAAAGTCATTGTGTGGGATGCGAACATCAACGAGGCCCTGCAGGATCTACACATGGAAAACTGTGTTTCAGAAGATGAACAAAACAGACATGCCAATCTTCATTTGCTGCCACTCTCACTCCAAGGAGGTTGCTAGGTGCAGCTTTTTGGACATCCACAAAACCCACGCTGTCCATCAAGATTCTTGAATAGTTACATATATGACTTTGTATACTATGTACAATCAACTAAGTGCTGAATTTTGTGGCACTGAAGTTTTTTGGAAAGTCAACTTATTTTATGCCACCATAGAATGATGTCTGATGTCCTTTTGGTAAATTAAGATGATTTACGGAGAATCGACACCACTGCAACTTGCTTTTTGGGTTGTTTTGGAGGTGAAAATTCTGATTAGACCATGCAGCAACCAACCTTTCCTCTCCTCCAAAAAAAACTCATTTTGTAATTACAGCGCAGCCCCCTTCCCAACACAGTCATCTTATTTGATTGAGAGCAGGGAAATGGATGGATGTGAATATGTCCAACTATTTTCTTACAGCTAATTGCACTGCAAGGATATCATCTGCAAGGATCCCAAGAGGTTTCTGCAGATGCCTATTGCAATGTGTTCAATTACAGGAAAATAGCTGGGTGCTATTCCTCTTCCCACTCTCTGAAAACATGGAAATAGATGTTTTGCAGAGGCCGTAGTGCTTTCAAGATGATTAGCACTGGGATATGTAGGTGTGGAGACATGGCTATGTGATAAGCTTACATCTCCCAGTTCAGAATCTCAATTGATATTTAAATAAAAAGGATATGCATATGCCCATCCAGAAGCATATTCAGCCTTACTCAGGCACTTTCGTGAAGATAAAAGGTAGGGCATGGGGACAGCCTTCCCCATGCTATGTCATGAGCAAGCCTTTGGAAACGCAGCGTAATAGTTGAATATGGAACTAGGAAAAGTGAACATGGAACGGCTTTCGGAAAATGAGTTAACAGGAAGCCATTGGTGGTTATATGTTTTAATGATTTTATATGGTTTTTATAATATGTTTAAATGTTTTTAATTATGTTTTATGAACAGTGTGGCATCGAATTGTTGCCAATGTGTAAGCCACCTTGAGTTTCCTTTGGGCTGAGAGAGGCGGCATACAAATGCTGTAAATAAATAAATAATAAATATATAATACAACTTCACTTGTTACTATAGACTTAGTAGAAGCTGATCAACTCTGCCACGTGGAAAACATTATAATACATTGTAATGCATTTATTCAGTATTGACTAAGAGAATTTCTGTCTCATGAGACACTTTCGGAAGCATCCCTGGGGCTCAGCAAGATCCCCAGTTCAATGCAACTGTTGTCATTCATACTTCTTACCTGCTGGGGCACTTTAAAGCGAACATACGAGCAGAGCTTCAGCATCTCTCCCATTTCCTCAGGAGTAGATGGAATTAAAGGGATTCTTTCAATGTTCTGTGAAGTCTTCATTTCCTGGAGCTGTTTAACAAATTTGCTTTCTGTCATCTGTGGCAGCCCTGCATTGAAATGAGATCCAAATGAGATTTTTAAAAAGGAAGGGAGGGAGGCAAATATATAGATATAAATACTATTTCCTCCATTTTGCTATGGGAAAGAGACTAATGTGAAACTGTAAACTGAACTAAATGCATGGCTGTCACTGAAATCAGCAACAGTATGCCTAATCGTGGAGTTTGCTTCCAAAAAGTACTAAATCCATCTCAACAAATTGTACAGTATTCGGGGGGAAAAACACATGCCAACGATATGCATTCTTTTGCTATAAAACACAATTTTCCAAGCCCTGTACCAAAGTGATTTGATACATTTCAATAGTTTTGCTCCGTACATAATATTCTACTTCTAGACAACAATGTGCTGTTACCTATAACTTGTTTTTTAAAAAAAATGGATTTGGCACCTTTTGAAACAAGCTCTGCAATGCTCAATCTTTGCTCTGCTGATTGTTTTCAGTTTCAATACCCAGGACCCCCAGCCAGTATGGACAAAAGACGTTAGAGTGATAAAAACATTCCAAACACCAAAGACTAATATGATGTAGTCTAGTAGAAAATAGCTTGAGTAAGTTGTAGAATTAGTACCACTAAACTACTAGTATAAGAAATTGACTTTGTATCTTGGTACTGCATATCCATGACTGACAGCCCCAGTATTGAATGCTGCATGTATTTATTATGAGTTAAGTTTATATCATATCTTTCCTCCAATAAGGATACATACTTCTCTCTGCTTCTTACAACAACCTTGTCAGGCTGAGAGAGAATGACTGTTCTATGGTTACCCAGCAAGCCCCACAGCTTAGTAGGAACCTGAACCTGACCCTGGATCCCCCAAATACCAATCACCTAACCATGGTAAGTTGTCCTACCAGGCAAAAGCTGAGGGATTAGACACAAACTGTCTATTTTCAGTGACAGATACACACTTAATTGAAAGTATAGTTCTGCCTTGCATGCCTTTGGTGACTGTCTGAACAGTGGGCAATGGGGGGCTTCAAGACCTCAAGGTTCCTGGTGTTTGGACCCTGTTTCCTCCAAGTGACCACCATGGATGCATAGAACACTGTCCCATTAGACTCAGAGTACTGAACTTTTTTTATGTCAGGAGCGACTTGAGAAACCGCAAGTCGCTTCGGGCATGAGATAATTGGCTGCCTGAAAGGACGTTGTTCAGGGGACGCCCGAATGTTTTATCATTCTGTAGGAGGCTTCTCTCATTTCCCTATATGAGAAGCTACAGTTGACAGATGGGAGCTCACCCAACTCCCCAGATTTCAACAAGGGTTTAATCCACTGTGCCACAGGGGGCTACAGCATTGGACTTTAAGCTATGTTATCGACTATATGACCCAGGGATCAGTAGCATTTTATAAGCCCTGCTTACGAGTAAGGAATTTCTTTGTGTCACTCACCTGCAGGGCAAATGAGAGTTAAGCTGCCCACCTCTGCTGGGTAGTGAGCAGCATAAACACCTGCAACATTTCCACCCATTGAAGTGCCAATGAGATGAAAGGGTTTTCTATTGAGATGGATACATTCAACAAACTGAAAGACCAAAAGGGCAATAGTGGATTAGAACAGTACAGTACAGCAATGACTTCACAAAAGGTGGTAGAAAAGTTCATGTTAAAGCAAGGCAAAAGCAAATACACCCATGAGATGCAGAGGCCTACTTAAGGACATGATAAGACAGCTGGTTTCTATGTCAGTGAGGCAAAGGCTCTCTCTCTCTCTCTTCCTGGCTTTTAGCTTAAACTTTAAAGGACTTGTCAAAGTTGTCAAACAAATTTGGAGGGTGGGGGTTAGTATAGAATCATGAACTGTTCATTTATAGTTTGGGCTGAAACTGGGCTAGATTTGTCTCTCCACTGACAAGGAAGCCACCAGCTGCTGCAACCACCGCTTTTCTTTTCTTTGTGCTTATTAAGAAAGTGCTATTGTTACTTTTGAAAAAGAAATCTGGCCTGGCCATGCCTGTGGATAATAGGGTAGGAAGCCCTGCAAAACTGCACTCTTTAAAAGAGCCAAACAGGGCTGAAAAGGCTTTTGAAAAAATCAGTAGGTGCAATCATATATTAGGAAAGCCACCTTCCAATGAACCTTTATATCGGAAAGGGGCACCCTGCCCTTTTTCTAAAAAGCATGCTTGCACACATTTGTTGATCTTATTCATCAAGCAAAACAAAGACTGGGCATGGTCTCTTCCCAGGAGCACCAGAATAGGCAATTCAATTTCAGTTAAGGACACAACTAAACCAAACTGGCTTCATGAAAAACAAAAGAAAAAAATCCTGCCTTGAGTACCATATGATTTTGCTTCCTTAATATTTCTGTCCCTCTACCAATATATTTATCTTCCCAACTCTACCAATACTTTTCCCAATTTTCCCAATATTTATCTCAACCCTACCAATATTACCAACTCTACCAGTACTGCCCATTCCCATGGGAATGGGAAGCGGCTGGCAAAGGGGCCAGGCTTCCCCCTTCCCCTCAGTCTTTTCGCTGCCTGCTTCAAGGGTCAGTCAATAGCACTGACTGAAGAAAGGTTTGTCTGCACTTTTCTCTGAGGCAAAGAGTGTGACTCTAGGCTGAGAGAGCGTGACTCACTCAAGACAAACATTTGTTAATAAATAGCCAAGTAGTAAAAATTCTCATTGTTAAAGGTGAAGGTTTCCCCTGACATTAAGTCTAGTCGTGTCAGACTCTGGGGGTGGTGCTCATCTCCATTTCTAAGCCGAAGAGCCAGTGTTGTATGCAGACACCTCCAAGGTCATGTGGCCAGCATGACTACATGGAGTGCTGTTACCTTCCCGCAGAAACTTTACCTATTCAGCTACTCAAATTTGCATGTTTTTGAACTGCTAGATTGGCAGAAGCCAGGGCTAACAGTGAGAGCTCACCCCACTCCCTGGATTTTAACTGCCAGCCTTCCCGTCAGCAAGTTCAGCAGCTCAGCGGTTAAACCCGCTACATCACCATTGTTAGCATTACATTTTTATGACTGCTAGGTGGCACAAGCTGAATGTATTTTTTTCAGGTTTTCTTGCTCTTTATATTTAGTTAATTAGCAAAATAATTTTTTCCCATTAATGTGATTTCATAATAAAATATTTGCATAATCAGTGCAATTAACTGATATTAACTGAAATTTCCTTTTTAATAATATGGTTTATTTTCACAATAGTTTATTTATCAATTATAGTTTTACATGAAAGAGGGGTGATAAAAAACAATCTCCAGCCTATTTTAATTTCAGCCCTTTAATACTGACAAGTTGTACAGGTCTACTATAAAAGACTGCTGACTATCCACAACCATCGCCAACCCACGAAAGGCAACACATCCACACACCACTATTAGTGTATGTCACTTTCAATTTATACAGGATTTTCACTCTCAGTTTACATATTGGAAGACTACTGCAGCACATTTCACAAACAAAATATGGAAGTGAAATATTTCTCTTGTAAGCGGAAAAATGTGTAAGCTCAGAGTTCAGTAACTGTGCTTTGATTGTGGGACGCACATTTCGTACTGTATTTTTATGCATTTAATCCATTCATGTTTATGGAAATGCTCAGAGCTGAAGCAACATTCTGACATATGAGTCATTCATCAGGAGCTGAGCCATTGACAGAAGGAAGGAATGCATTTTGATAAGGTACAAAAAGCTGTTCTTGGGATTTTTTTGTAAACTATCATGTCATGAAAGCAGGACAAGATATTTGATTAGCCAAATGCAGAGATTAAATCCCAATGGAATACAGAGCAACTTCTAGTGGCTAAAGTGGGAATATCTCAGTCACCTCACTTCAATTTCTCTCACTCAGCAATCAACTTAGATCTTCAGGGGGCAGGAAGAATTAAACAGATTAAGTATTTGAGAGTCAAGAGAATCTTATAAGACTGTGAATGCTTGGCATGTGGAGAACTTTCAGGAAATACTGCCTCTGTTCAAACATAGTTGTAACAATTCTATCTTCCACCTTTTATATAATATAAACAAACCTTCAAATCCTTCCCCTCCACAACTCAAGTCACCCTAGACACTGAGGCGTAAATTGGTCCATACACTCAGGAAGATGGAAGGAGGAGAACATCACAATAACTTTCAATGGCATTTTCCAAATCTTTACCTGGTGTATTCTTTTCACTTGTCCTTCAATTGAATAGTCATCTAGGGAAGACCGAGTAGTCCCCTCATGACCTGGCATGTCAACACAAATCAAGTGTAGGTTCTTTGGAAGGAACTGAGAAGAACAAGAATTACATGGGTAAGTTAAAGGCAATATTTCACCAAAGCGGTTGACCCACACCAAATCTGAACAAGCTTCCAACCAGTGGCATGACTATGAAGCTGAAGAAGACATTGGGTTGTTGTGAGTTTTCTGAGCTGTATGGCCATGTTCCAGAAGCATTCTCTCCTGATGTTTCACCCACGTCTATGGCAGGCATCCTCTGAGATTGTGAGGCCTATTGGAAACTAGGCAAGTATATATATCTGCGGAACGACTAGGGTGGGAGAAAGAACGCTTGACTGCTTGAAGCAAGTGTGAATGTTGCAATTGGCACTTTGCTTAGCATTTAATGGCCTTGCAGATTCAAAGCCTGGATGGTTGCTGCCTGGGGGATCCTTTGTCAGGAAGTGTTAGCTGGCCCTGATTGAATCTTGTCTGGAATTCTCCTGGGTTTTTTAAGTGTTGCTCTTTATTTACTGTCCTGATTTTAGAGTTTTTTTAATTCTGGTAGCCACTGCTGGCTTGTTGGTGGTGTGAAAAATGGATCAGGTCAGATCCAGCCCAATCTGCTGTCATGGAATAACATCTGGGGCCATGCTGCACATTTGTCCATGCATTATGTGGATTCATAATTATGTGGAGCTGATGAACAACTGCACGGCATCCTGTCAGATTCCCAAAATCTGGAGGAAAGCAAGAGTCATCGCCATCTTGAAGCCAGGCAAAGACCGTAATGACCCAAAAAGCTACAGACCAATCTCCCTGTTGTGTCACCTCTACAAAGTTCTGGAGAGACTTATTTTGCATAGAATTACGGAAAAAATAGGCCCATGTCTGATTCCACAGCAAGCTGGCTTCAGGAAAGGCAAAAGCTGCACATCGCAAGTGCTGAACCTGACTCAGCACATAGAAGATGGCTTTGAAAGGCAGCAGATCACAGGAGCTGTCTTCATAGACCTGTCAACAGCCTATGATACTGTCAACCACCGCCTCCTCCTGAGAAAAATGTATAATATCACAAAGGACTACCACCTCACCCGCCTCATAGGAAACCTGCTACAAAACAGGAGCTTTTTTGTTCAGTTCCAGAGCCAGAGAAGCAGATGGCGGAAACAGAAGAATGGCCTGCCTCCATCCATGTTCAACATCTACACAAATGACCAGCCACTGCCAGAAGGGACAGAGAGTTTCATCTATGCTGATGATCGTGCCATTACTGCTCAAGCAGGGACCTTTGAGATGGTAGAACAGAAGCTCTCCGAAGCTCTAGGTGCTCTTACTGCCTACTACAGGGAAAACCAGCTGATCCCTAACCCATCTAAAACACAGACATGTGCCTTTCATCTCAAGAACAGAGAAGCATCCCGAGCTCTGAAGATCACCTGGGAAGGAATCCCACTGGAGCATTGCAGCGCACCCAAATATCTGGGAGTCACTCTGGACCGTGCTCTTACCTACAAGAAGCACTGCCTGAACATCAAGCAAAACGTGGGTGCTAGAAACAATATCATACGAAAGCTGACTGGCACAACCTGGGGATCACAACCAGATACAGTGAAGACATCTGCCCTTGCGCTGTGCTACTCTGCTGCTGAGTATGCATGCCCAGTGTGGAACACATCTCACCATACTAAAACAGTGGATGTGGCTCTTAATGAGACATGCCGCATTATCACGGGGTGTCTGCGCCCCACACCACTGGAGAAATTACACTGCTTAGCCGGTATTGCACCACCTGACATCCGCCGGGAAGTAGCAGCCAATAGTGAAAGGACCAAGGCAGCTCATCCCCTGTTTGGGTATCAGCCAGCACGTCAACGACTTAAATCAAGACATAGTTTTCTAAGATCTACAGAGACACTCGCTGGAACACCTCAGCAAGCGAGAGTCCAAAAGTGGCAGGCTCAAACCCAGAACCTCAACCAATGGCTGATACCAAATGAGAGACTCCCCCCTGGGCACACAGAGGACTGGGCGACTTGGAAGGCGCTGAACAGACTGCGCTCTGGCACCACGAGATGCAGAGCCAACCTTCAGAAATGGGGCTACAAAGTGGAATCCTCGACATGCGAGTGTGGAGAAGAGCAAACCACTGACCACCTGCTGCAATGCAACCTGAGCCCTGCCACATGCACAATGGAGGACCTTCTTGCAGCAACACCAGAGGCACTCCAAGTGGCCAGATACTGGTCAAAGGACATTTAACCAACTACCAAACTCACAAGTTGTGTATTTTTCTGTTTGTTTGCTTTGTTCTGTTAGAAATGTAATATAATGGACTGGTTGCTCTGACACGACAAATAAATACCACAACAACTGATTGGTGAGTCCACATTGTTTTGGTTATGCAGACAGGTACTCAGTCAGTAATGGCAGCCCCATCCAGGAATAAGATGCCATCCAGAGGCTGTGCGGCATTCGAAACATGCCAAACAGGGACAGCCATGGGATGTTCAGTTTGTATAGTGAACTTGGGAATAGGCCAGGGAAGTTGTACTTTCTCTTCTCTTCTATTACACTCTGGTTATATCCATGTGTGTTAAATCTCAGCATCAATTCGTACAACACCTTCTAAGAATGGCTGACCCAAAGTCCTAAAGGATTATTTTCAATGCCACATAATACATGGATTTTTATATCACATGGGTATTTTCCATAGTAACCTCAGTAGCTCTGACTATGCAACACACAGAACTGAGTACAGTGCAAGTCAGCCACAAAAAAGTAGTTTGCAGGGACAACAATCCACTGTTTAAAGTTACATATGAATCACCCACAACTTAGCAAAAAGACCAAAAAGTTATTTCCCACTAGGTGGAACTATTTTACTGCCATTAAAAGAAAATCCTACCTTGACCACAGACAGCCACATATCTTTATGAGCTGAGAAGCCATGCAGCATGAGTATGGAAGGTCTATGGCTGGATCTGCCTCGGTAGGAATAGCAAAACTGGTAGTCGTCATAGTTCACATATCTAACTTGCATGCCCAGTGCTCGGCGCCAGTACCTGGCAACAGTAAGAACAGGACAAAGGATTGAAACACAGTGATTACAGTGTAGGATTTAACACATTTGTAATCCAGGCTTTGCTTCAACGGATTCTAGACACTGACTGCTTCTCCTCTCTTCGCTTGTGCCCCATCAGGCATTGTCGCAGCCATTGTGTAATGCAGCAGCACATTTGTCAGGTAGAAGTATCCCAGGAATTCCTCAGAGATGGATGCTACCAGCCTGGCACTGGGCCCTGCTGCACCGGCCTGCTAATTCTGACATCCAAGAAGGGGAGAAAGAATAAAATGAATGGAACCTGTTTATGGACAAACACTAATCCACCCAGGACAATAAGCCTGATATTGCAGACAGACTACATGTTTTTGTACATATGGTATGGCTTTTGGCATAAGAGCACATGAACTCAAGCAGTCCCCTAAGGGAGACAGGGCAGGTTATAAATAAACTTTATTATTAAAGTTTATTAAATTGAGTCAACGGATTAGACCAAATGCCTCTCTAGTAGAGTGTTCTCTTCCAAGAAGGGACAACCAAAGTTGGTCAAAAGCAGGACAAGCACTTGCCCCTCACACTTCCCAAACAATATGTAAGTCATGAGGAACTTAAGAGATTAACAGATTTCCCAGAACACACAAGAGGTCTATTGTCCCTGATACTGAAAATGATACAAAGCCATCTTAATAGCATTGAAAGCCCTACCCCCTGTGGATTTAAATAGCACACTTCTTATTTATTATTATTATTTATTAATACGCTTGTATACCGCTAATATCTCAGCCTAAAACGGCGACTCATTGCGGTTTACAACACTTAAAACAACAATATTCAATTTAAAAACATAAAATACATATACAGTACACAGTATCGGGCCACCAATACAGACCGATGCATCTCTTAGTTAAAATCATAATCCAATTTCGTCGTCTATAATTACCAGTCCTTGATCATCAACTTCATCGCACCGGATTAACCGAATGCTTGTTCAAACATCCATGTCTTCAGTTTTTTTCGAAATACCAACAGCGAGGGAGCTGATCTTATCTCTATAGGGAGGGCATTCCAAAGCCGAGGGGCCACCACAGAGAAGGCCCTGTCTCTCGTTCCCGCCAGCCGCACTTCTGAAGCCGGAGGGACAGAGAGCAGGGACTCTCCAGAAGATCTTAGGGTCCTGGTGGGCTGATAGGCTGAGATACGTTCGGATAGATATGTTGGGCCAGAACCGTTTAGGGCTTTAAAGGCCAACGCCAGCACTTTGAATTGGGTCCGGTAGCAAATCGGCAGCCAGTGGAGCTGGTACAGCAGAGGAGTCGTATGCTCCCTGCGCCCCGCTCCTGTTAATACCATGGCCGCCGCCCGTTGGACTAATTGGAGCTTCCGAGCCGTCTTCAAAGGCAACCCCACGTAGAGAGCGTTGCAGTAATCAAGACGGGATGTAACCAGAGCGTGGACTACCGTGGCCAAGTCAGACTTCCCAAGGTACGGTCGCAGTTGGCGCACGAGTTTTAACTGTGCAAATGCTCCCCTGGTCACCGCCGAAACCTGGGGATCCAGGCTCAGCGATGAGTCCAAGATCACACCCAAACTGCGAACCTGTGTCTTCAGGGGGAGTGCGACCCCGTCTAACACAGGCTGTAACCCTATACCCTGTTCGGCCTTGCGACTGACCAGGAGTACCTCTGTCTTGTCTGGATTCAATTTCAATTTGTTCGCCCCCATCCAGACCGTCACAGCGGCCAAGCACCGGTTCAGGACCTCGACAGCCTCCTTAGTAGCAGGTGGAAGGAGTGACAGAGTTGGACATCATCTGCGTACAGATGACATCGCACTCCGAAACTCCGGATGATCTCCCAGTGGCTTCATGTAGATGTTAAACAACATGGGAGACAGTATTGAACCCTGAGGAACCCCACAAGACAAAGGTTGTGGTGTTGAACAGGCGTCTCCCAGTAACACCTTCTGAGACCGGCCCTCGAGGAATGACCGGAGCCACTGCAGAACAGTCCCTCCAAGACCCAATCCCGCGAGGCGTCCCAGAAGGATACCGTGGTCGACGGTATCGAAGGCCGCTGAGAGGTCGAGCAGCACCAACAGGGACACACTCCCCCTGTCGAGCTCCCGACGCAGATCATCCACTAAGGCGACCAAGGCTGTCTCGGTACCATGCCCCGGCCTAAAGCCAGACTGTGCCGGATCTAGATAATCTGTGTCTACCAAGAATGCCTGGAGTTGTGAGGCCACCACACGTTCCATGACTTTGCCCAAGAAGGGGAGATTGGAAACAGGCCGATAGTTAACGAATTGAGTGGGGTCCAGTGATGGTTTCTTCAACAGCGGTTTTATTACAGCTTGCTTTAAGCTGGCTGGAATTTTGCCCTCCCGAAGGGAGGCATTAACCACCACCTTCACCCACTCGGCCAATCCCCCTCTGGCCTCCTTTAGAAGCCAGGATGGGCAGGGGTCTAGGATGCATGTGGTAGCTCTCATTCCTCCAAGCACCTTGTCCACATCCTCGGATTGAATGGCAAGTTCCATGAAAAGCTCATTCTATGGTAAACATATTCATCTTTAGTGTGCCACAGGACTATTTATTGACTTTACTGTAGCAAACTAACACAGCTCCCCCTTTAGAAATTGATATAGATACATACACACACACACACACACACCAGTGGTTGCCAACCTTTTTTTGACCAGCAACCACTTGATCAGGGACCACTAGACCAGGGATCACTTTGACCAGGGACTCATCAATATTAGTATGAAAAGGGTTACAAATCGGTTTTTGGTCAACTTTAGATTCAGTTTGGTTATTTGGAATGCTAATTCAGAAAACTGAATTGGATAGACCACATCAGCTCTAGTTTCTGATACAGAATCTAGCCATCTGCTCACCCACAGAAAACCATATTTTAAACTATAAGAGAGTTTTGCAAGATCAGTCACTCTCGGTGTAATAATGATGAGGCCATGGGCCATATTTTAGTTCTTGTGGATCACCAGTGGTCCACGGACCATAGATTGGGAACCACTGATATATACTCAATCAAAGCCAGATAGTAAATCCATGGAAATCACTGCCACATTAATGATAGCCACTACCGATTTATGCCATTCTAAAAGGGAATATTTATCCTGCTAATGGGTTTCACATAGTAGAGTCTTGCTCATCCAACTTTCTGTATTATCCAACGCAGTCAGCCTCCCACCCAGATCCATAGCTATTTCAATACATTGTGATATTTTGGTGCTAAATTCGTAAATACAGTAATTACTACATAATGTTACCATGCATTGAATTGCTTTTTCTGTTGATTTGTTGTAAAACATGATGTTTTGGTGCTTAATTTGTAAAATCATAATGTAATATGACATTTAATAGGCTTTTCCTTAATCCCTCCTTATTATTCAACATTTTTGCTTATCCAACATTCTGCTGGCCTATTTATGTTGGATAAGCGAGAGTCTACTGTAGTATGTGGTCAGCCATAAAGAAAAACAAAAGCCTAAACTAGACTAGCCTTTAATTTGGTCCAACACCACGACTTTTTTCTTAAATTAAATACTTCCCAATAATAAATGTAGACACAATGTGAGAAAACACTTGAATAAAAAGACTTCTCAACCAGAGCACTGTATATACTAATGTAAATTCGGCCGCATGTATCAGTCAAAGGCAGGTTTTGATCTCAATTTTGATATGACCCATGGGTTAGTCAAGGATGACTGTGCAGAGAGGAGAAAGCACCAAAGCTGCCTCGGGGATCTGCTGCCCCTGGCCACCAACACCATTTTCCCACACAGGCTTTCAAGAAGTCATCTCACCAGAGGAGGGGATGGTTCCTTTGCATGATTTTAAATGAACAGGTTTTTAATTTGTTTTACTTGTTTATTTTTTAATACTGATAATGTTTAATTCTAGTTTAATGTTTCTGTATTTTAGGGTTTAAATTATAGTGGTTTTATTGTAAGTCAATTTAATTCTCTTTTTTAGAGAGATAAAATAGGATTAAAATGATGATGATGATGATGATGGTACAGTATTAATTCCTATAAAAAGAAACTATTCTTAAGGTACTGTGTTCACATTGATTAATAATAGTAATAATAAGACTTTATTTATATTCCACCCTATGTCCCCAAGGGGACTCAACCTGAGTTGAGTAAGTCAACTCAGGTTTTTGGGATCCATTTTTCAAAACACTTTCTAGCCTTCCACATGAGTATAATATCAGTGGTTCCCAACCTGTGGGCATCAGCCCGGCAGTGGGCTGCGAGAACAAAAATTTGGTCCATTAACCTCCTCCTTCTTTATTTATTGTATTTTATTTATTTTATTTCCATTCCTTTCCACAGAGCTGACCAGCCCTGCCCCTTTTGGTACTAATGTTGGAGAGTGGTATCTGGTTGAAGTGGGCCCTAGTTAAAGTGGGTCCTGGTCAAAATAAAGGTTGGGAACCACTGGTATATACAATACTTCTATGGAGATTTTATCATTCAAAGTACATGGGATATGCACTTTGAATGATAAAATCTCCATAGAAGTATTGTATATACCAGAAAAAAAGTTATGTATTATTGTATGTTGATAAACTAAAAATGCATGACCACATCTTGGAAGTCACTTTTTTCAGTCAAACATCTCCCAGAACACTGCCTGGAGTGTTCTAAGAGTCTCATGGTCCAACAGAGTAACTTTCCCAAGTTCTGTATTAGAGAGGGGAATTGCCTTTGTGACAGCCAGGGTAGCAGAGTGGTTTCAGTCCTGGACTAGAAGACAAGGACCCGATTCCCCATTCAGCCATGCAAACCTACTGGGTGATCTTAGGTAAGTCAAACTCTTTCAGAGGAAAGCAAAGGCAACCCCCTCTTCCAAAGAACTCTTACAATACTCTAAAGTCCTTTTATTTGGCATGGACCACAGCTCTTTTCACCAGATATAAACAAGACTTGAAGAATCAGGGCTTGATACACTTGATTTATACTTGCCTCCCATCTGGATTTATCATACTATTAATGCAAAATGGCATATATACCATTTACATAAGATATAGAATGGCTGGTGCTCACTACTGTTGTTTTCACGTGATATAGCACTCTTTATATGCAAAGTTTTATAAAACCCTTATGCCTGTCATTTTTTTATAGAACCCTCTTAATTAAATCCCTATTTTAGTTTTCAAGATGGGGAACTTGCTGTACAAAGACCTCCAGAAAGGAAAAGAAGGGAGGAAGATATCTGTAGAAATCTGCTCAGCTATCCCAAACCTCAATCAACTCTTATCTGTCAGAACATGCCAATTCCAGTGACTTCAAAGGTTGTTTCGAGTGCATCTAACAGTTAGTACTGATGCTATTTTCAAAAGGATGCTGAGGATTAGTGCATCTGACCTCATTTTGTTCAGCATCCCTTCACAGTATGGAGTCAATTCAGAGCTCCTTGGCCATCCTGATGGAGGGCTGACAGTGCTTCTGGAAGTATGAACACAAGGAACAGCCATACGAAACAGCAGCAATTGCTGGAGCTTGGCCTCATTAAAGCCTTCCTTTTGTTGATGCTCAAGAGCGTCATTAATATCTTCTTTTTAATGATATGCAAGCTGTTCCGAGTACACTCCCAGTGGAAGGATGAAGAAGAAATGCTTTCAGCTTGCTGTTATTAATTATTATTATTTCATTTATATTTAAAATAATTAATATGATGCCTCATTCACTAAGAAAATTAAGCACCAGGTCTGCTGGGTGATTGAGCACAAATCTCTCAACTTGTCACAGGCAAGATTGTGAAAGAACAATATAGTGACTGTTATCACTGTAATAACTAACAGTATGGTTATTATTCAGTATTGGGAGAAGGAGAACTAATTCCCACATTTCTACTTCCTGCCTTCCAACATGATAGTTCCCTGGTTTGCTGGGGCATCAAGATACCATGTCTCCCTTTCCTTCGTTCCTCTACTCACTCTCCTCCCCTGCGCCAATCGTTTCTGCAATTTTCCTCCTTCTAAGACCACTGAAGCTTTCGTGTTCTAAGCCCACTGTTGCAATTATTCTCGCTTAAACATTTAAAATGGCTTTTCTGAATGATTAACCTAGCCAGCAAGCAATTTGTCTCCACTCCGAAACAAGCCAATGACATCTGCACTCATGGGGAGCTAATCTCCCAGGCCAGGCAAAGTAACCAAGGTAATGCTGCACTGCCTAGCAACCAGCAACAAAGGCATCCCTCGCTAATAAGACAACACTGAATTCTCCCAGCGACATTTATATTACTTGAACATGATTAGCATGGACGTTTCATGGGAAAGATCAATAGTTCAGTGAAAGGTTTACTCACATTCTACTATCCAGTTACATATTGCATATATCAATCAGTTACTAACTCTATCATGGTTCATTCACTGATCTCAAATCAATCCTGACATCTCCCATTCAATGGATTTCAGAAAGCAGGTGATGAGGAAGACCACTGCCCAAGAGCTATAGTCAAATTGAACCACACTGAGTTAGATTAATTAATTTTTTAAAACATATCCATATACAGTGCAGAATTATAGCACATCATGGAATCCTGGAAATTATAGTAAAGGGAAGAGAACTGTCTGCCAGAGAGCTTTAATCCACCACCAAATTACAATTGAATCCCCCACCAAATTACAAACCCCAGGATTTCACAGAATGGAACCAGGGCAGTTAAAATGGAATAATAGCACTATAATTGGGTAGTGCAAATTGACCACAGATTCAAGACTGTAAGTGCAGGTGAAATGGAATCCATTTTGTTGAATTATCCACTGGCAAATTTGTTGAATTATCTGCTGATCATATTAGGTACAGTGATCGGAAAAAAGCATTAATGCAGAGAAAAATTGCTATAAGCCAAAAGAACTGTTGGCCTTCTTCAGAACACACAAAGGACGTGGGCAGAATCTGGCCCACTATTTCGTTTTATGTGGTCCATGAGGCTTTCAATGCCAGGACAACATAGTTATACACTCACAATTACAAATAGCCCTTTGAAGGCAATCATAATGCAGATGTGGTCCTAGGTAAAAATGAGTTTGATACCTCTGTTCTAGAGGCTTTGATCTACAATGTCTATAAGCTCCATCTAGCATAGCTAATGATAAGAGACTATAGAAGCATGATCCAAAATATGTGGTAAGCCAAAAATATTGTCTCCTGATTTACGAAAATATATGAAGCTGGTCTCAGAAGAAACACCACCACACCACCACAGTAGTGGTCCTGTCAAAACTCTGAGTCAGTTCCAATTTGGTAACCAGACTGTAATCCAAACAATTCTGTGATCCCTCAACATCCCTATGTACGTAACGGTTTTTGTCCAATTTATTCTTTCTAGTGTGTGTCAGATATACATAACACAGGGCTTCACAATGAAAAATGGCTCCATATTTTCATAGGGCTGTGACTTGAAGGAGCCAGCTCCAGAATAGAAGAACCAAAAGAAAAGCATCCATGGAAACCAACAGAAATGCTGATCCATTTGTTCTAAATCAGGCAATTGTTATAAACTATCTGTGCCTTCTTCAAAGGAATACAAATCATAACTGAAGTCCTCATATATGGAGGTGACAGAAAAAGACAACTTACCAGTAGTATATTTTGATCAGTGCTGAAGGCCACAATAGAAAGGATGCAACAAATGCCAGGATGGGAATGGCTAGGGTGCCTCCTGCTATTACAAACATGTTTAGTACATCAAGGTCCATCTTGAGTTCTTCACGGGTCTACCTTACCTGCATGAATAAAGCAAGGGTTATTAAAACAATAAACAAACACATACATTGTTCAAGGATGCTGCTATCACCATCATCTACATTTGCCTTGTAAAGACTCTTGGATTATTTTTAATCCACTTCAATCCATTAAGTTTTCTCAAAATCAGAGCCAGCTAAGGAATACAATGGCCCGAGAGGACAGTTGTAGGGTGACAGGCAACAACTATGGCACACATGGTCATCAGAAAAAGAAAGGGGCCTCACTCTTTTTACCGGCAGATGACAGTGGAGCCAGGGCACCATTATAGCCCAATAAATGAGGAATTGAGAAAGTTTGTGGGCAAGGCAGAGGGAATTCTTCTCAAGTTTATATTTAATATGATCCAGAGAAGAATTCCAGAGTTACAATGCTCATCTCTTATTTTAGGTGACAACTGGAAACCCAACCTTTATTTCCAAACCCGGATAATATCTCAAATTTCATTCCATCTGCCTACAACTGAAAGAAAGCATATTGTCCTGTATCAGCTCAGCTGGGAGTAAGAGCCATTTTTTCCTCACCTCAAAATGTCTCCTGCAGAATAAAAAATATTTCTACCAGTTCATATGAATCATTACGTTATATTATAAAATACCTAAATGTGTTTACTTTCCCCTCTTTCCCTTTTCTAATGACATCTCTGTAATAAAAAACATTCTTATAAAATCTAAACTGCTTCAAGTGCTACAGCAGAAAATCAGTATGAAAATATATTAACTATGTGTGGAGCAACAGAGCATTGCAACAGCATAATTGCACTGAGCTACATCTGTCTGTCCCTAATGTCTGTAAGGAGTGTTCATTTATTCATTCATTCATTTATAATCATAAATATTATACTGTGCATTTATAAATTAAAGTTACAATTACAATAAAATATTAATATTGTTGTTATGTGTTTTTGCATCATTTCAGACTTCTGGCAATCCTAAAGTGAATGCATCACAGAGGTTTTCTTGGTAATGTTTGTTCAGAGAGGTTTGCACCTGCCTTCCTCTAAGGCTAAGAGATCATTCACTTGGTTTCCATGACTGAGTGGGGGATAGAGTTATATAAACCCTATATTTTTCATATATTGCATTAAAATAATATAATAATCTACAATATTATGGTATATTGAGGAAATACTATACTTTCTCAAGAAAATGTTAATAAAACCTGTATCCAGTAATCATGTGTTATAACTCTAAATGTACATTTTACACATGTTAACATACAAACTGTCTCTTCTTTTTTGCAAGAATAATTCAGTCATTGAATCCACTGGGTAATAATGCAAACTTTCTGCGACAGTATTAGAGGCACAGGTTTTGACCTTGACAGGACCTCCCTTCCACTTCAATGCAACCCTGAGGAGAAAGTTGGATAAGTTTGATCTGGGGCAGACCCAGGCCACATAGCACTCTAGTCACTCCTGGCCTCCACTTTTAGAATTCCCTTTTCTATTTGAATGTTGAAAACTATGGTTTGTGTTCCAGCAGCCCATGGTTCAGAGGCCCTCAACCCTCACTGTCCTCTGCTGGATATAGAGAAGCCATGCACTCATATTTCAAACCATGGCTTTACAAATTAACTTTCTTCCCTCCCCCCTTCAAGATTAAACATAATATTTGTAAAATACAATTACTACAAACACAGAAGTTTTCTGTTTCCTCGCAGGTGTGCCAGGAGGAGGAGAAGGCACCATGTAAGCCTGTGTAGATAATGCTGCACAATTGTCTAGCATTGCATCCAATTAGTCCCAAATTAATTTCATGGGAAGATGAATACAACTGCGTGCAACAAATAGCACACTAAACTAAAACACAGGCTAGCACGTGTTCACTGCTGTAAGCAACTAGAAGCAAACTTACTCCAGATCTACATTGGCATTACCTCTGTCCCATTAAATAAAAAAGGCTCAGTAACCCAGAACTACGGATAACTCTTTGAACCCAACTTTGCAGATTTTGTGATCAAGGCAGCCAACAATTTGACAACACTGCTGTGTCTGCAAAACCAAACAGGGAATACTGCAAGCCCTTGGCACGCTATAGGGAACTAGGCATTTGCCATCAAACAAATGGGTTTTGGAGCTTTGTTAGCATCATGGCCAAATGTAAACAGTTTTCCAGTGGTATAGAAAGGGTTGATTTATGTTAGTGACACATTACTTATTTTGCATTTGCGTTAGCAGTTTGAAGCTGAGAAAAGATATGAAAGCTTGATATTGTCAGTAGAAGTTCATTTTCCTGTCTTGCTAACCTGCTTATACTTTTCATACTAAGTATGGGTCACATTTGTGCACTTTGATTTTCTTCATTTGCTTCTTCACTGTACATGTTTACAATTAGCAAAGCTTATCTTATAGCAGGATGTGTGTCAATGTTCAATGCTGAGCGAAGTCTTGTGGAGTCCTGGAGCTAAAATTAATGCAGGAACAGAACACAAGCTGTCATATAGGGTTCATAAAAGTTTTATACAGTGGTTCTTAACACATTGGCTAAAATCACCCTTGTCTCCAGCTACTGCAGAAATGGCATTTAAACTCAGAGAGAAAATGGAAGCCTGAAGGAGAAGCAAGGGATGGCCTTCCCTGGACAGTCAAAAATGTTTCTGACCCTGTGAATGCTCCCTCTGTTGCATATAACACTATGTCTAGGTGTCTCACCGTATGCCCATCTAACAGACAAACACAGACATTTTTCATTCATAATATTAGACTCTCTTAAACAAGGATTTGAAGAATAAAGCAAAGCCAACTGAAACACTCTGCTTCCTGAGGCAGAACAAGAGATGGCAGCCCCACACCCACACGTGTACGTGTGTGTGTGTGTGTGTGTATGTGTGTATGCAGAACAACAAACACACGGGGGGGGGGGGGGGGAGAAGAGAGAAAAGGTAATTTGGGAGAGATTGTTTTAGACTGGGCCTATAAATACCTGTGGCCCAGTTTTGGCTTCCAAGTTCCAGAAGCCTATGTCAACTTGTCCAATGGCCAAGAATTATGGAAGTTGGAGGCCAAAACAGCTGGAGGGCCATAGGTTTCTCAACCTGTGTGGTCCCCAGATGTTTAGACCTTCAATTCCTAGAAATCCTAATAGCTGGTAAACTAGCTGGGATTTCTGGGAGTTGTAGATCAAAACACCTGGGGACCCACAAGTTGAGAAGCACTGTTTTAGACTGATCTTTCAAGGACCTATCCAAGGTGCTGAACTATATATATATTCCCAGAGAGGTTTCAACACCCTGAAGAGTTTTGCTGTAATATAGTCTAAAGGCATGGGCAAACTTGTTTGCCTTGAGGCCGCATTGTGGACTTGGTTGCAAGGGCTGGGCCAGGAGGGGGGGGGGAAGCTGGATGAGGAGGGCCCTGGAAAGGAAGGGGCCAGGAGGGGGCAGGGCAGGGCCTGGGTCATCCTCATGTTGTCCTCCCAGCATAAGGACGGGGACTGCTTGTCCCATCCTTATGCTGGGAAGAAGGTGGGACACAGGGTGACTTCCCCAATCCTCCTTTGCATTCTCCTTCCCTGATCCTCGCGTGGTCCTCTTGGCATTATGCTGGGAGGAGGGCGAGAGAGGCAGCAGCTAAGTGTGCTCCAGGGGGCTCTCGGCTGCCGCATGCCTTCCTCAAGCCATCCACCCAGCATAAGGATGGGGTCAATCACACCATCCTTATGCCGGGAGAGTGGTGAAACAACGGTGGTTAAGAGTGCTCCAGACGACTCTCAGCTGTTATGTGCCTTCCACCCCCATCTTTTTGGCATAAGGACACAGTGTCTTTAAGAGAACAGGGAAAAGAGGAGGACCTGGGGTAAGTGCCCAGGGAGCCGGATCCAGCCCCTGGGCCTTTGTTTGCCAATGCCTGGTCTAAAGCCTGATGATAAATTCCACTGTTGTGGAAGCCATCAGTTGTTGCTGAATAGATATATAACTCATAATCCATAGTGCTTTCATGACACCCCAAATCCACAGGCCCGAGGACCTCCCCACTAAGTAGGCTGAGAAACCAGCCAGCTAAGACTCTTTCTGGCTGCTTTTAGTGTCTATTTGCTGTGCCTGATCACAAAAACAGTGCATTCTATCCACAGTCCTGTGTTTTCCCACACTTTGTGACATCTTTTTTTTACAAAAAAAGAAATTAAGGAGGGAAATGTGGAAATGGTGCAGAATATAATACTATTGTAAGTTAACAGCTTTCAGCCTGAAACCATCCCTTGCACCCTCCCTCTCTCCCCCATTCCATCTCTCTTCCCAATTCCCAAAATAGTTAATGAGTCTGCTGTCAGTTTATAGGCAATTCCTTACTTCTGCTTTGTTCTGCACATATAGTGCAGAATTCTCTAAAGAGAGAAAGGGGTAGGCATGGCCCCTGGACTGCCTTGCTGCTCAAAAGTGGGGAATGTGCAATAACCATTCATGACAGGACCAGAGGGAGAAGGAGAGGAGCACAACAAAATGCATCAATCCCGAAAGCAGCCTTGACTCAAAACACATATGGAAGGGACTTTGAAGTACAACTATAGAAATATACAGCTGGCTCACAGTGGCCTTGGCTCTTTGAGGGGCTGTATCTTCCGATTTGTGCCTATTGGAGCTCTAAGTTTCTCCCAGACACACTTCCCCCTCTGTCTCACACCTTGACCGTCTCCTTAATGTTTCTTTATCCATACTGTGGATAAAGAATATTGTAGGCAGATTAACTGAGGGAGGGTGAGGGGAGTTAAACAAAAAAAAGTAACAAATCATGACACCATCTTTATAAAATACGGAATATATCATTCAGCCATCACAGCTGCCCCTGCATTTACTGATTCTTGATCATTTCTCCTTCTCCTCTCCTTCTAAGAACATTTCACCAAGCTTTTACATACTGAGGAACAGGATTTGGTAATGACTGGTTTGCCAACTTCAGTCAAAGAGAACAGTCCTTTTCACAGTGTCAGCAGATTCTTGCTCAATGCATCTCTCAGAAAGCATTACATAATCTACAGAGCAA